TAATAATAATGGACACAATGAACAGATACGAATGATGGCACATACATGTGGTCTTGTAGCTACCGAATGATATTCCTCTAATACTAGCGGTATTTTTTTGGTTTTTGTGAGTTGGTAGTTTATTGTTCATTCACATAACATACCGTAACGCTTTAAGTCCTTTCCTTTCCTTTTATTTTTATTTTCAGGACCATAAATAATCAGCAAAGAGATGGATAAGAAAGTTCTTCTCGTCATTGTCGCTGTCATAGCTATCCTTGTCCTGGCAATCTCTTTGGTGGCTTCTTCACTGGAAAAGCTTTCCTCTAAGGAAGGTAAGTGAAAAATACATGTGTCACAATGCGTTGGAATCAGGCGCTCGTCAATTATTGGGCATGTGTGCAGTTTATTGGTATCATCTTAAAACTTGTTCAATTGTCTTGGTATTGGTGAAAAGTGCTCATATATCTAACTTGAATAGATGTCGAGATATTTGAGATTGAAGAAGGTGGGCTTGCCTGGTTTCAACGTATGGAGAGTGGGGGTGGACCAGAGAAGGGATGAAGGAGAGAGGGAAAATGAGAGAGAGAGAGAGAGAGAGAGAGAGAGAAAGAGAGAGAGAGAGAGATTTGTCCCAGCCCATGAAACATGTACATGTATTTACTTGGCCTAATGTCCTGTCTTGTGCATTTGTGTGAGTGCACCTTTAGGTCCAACTTTTGTAACGTCTACTGCCATTGTTGACGACCAAGACAAATTTATCCCTGCGAGATGAATATAGACTATCATTGTCGTTGTCATTGTTATATATAACCTAATTGTGTTGATAGGGGGGCGTTAAACCAGTACTCACTTAATAATAATACATAGCATTTGCAAAGCGCAAATCCCCGCTCAACAGCAAGCTCTATGCGCTTCACAATCCTATACTATTACCCTAGAAGAACTGAGAGCATTCTGAAATAACCTCAACTTCCTGGGAAGCATACAGTGCAAGCAGCCATTTATAGACGCTAAAACACTAACGTACTGACAAGATCTTTCGCTTACTCACTTTTCCAGTGGGTTTGCAGTATGACACTATACAGAAAGACCTGGAGGACAAAGTATACACAGAGGGACTGCACTTGGGCCCGGTCGGCTTCGAGTTTATCGTCTTCCCCAACATATACACGACAATGAAGTTCACTGGTCTGGAGGTAATCAAAGAATATTTTATTTGCTTATTTGTGTTTAGTCAAAAAATCTATGCAGCTCAAAGTCTCCATCTCTGGCTCTCTGTGTCTCTGTCTCTCTGTCTCTCTCTCTCTCTCTCTCTCTCTCTCTCTCTCCCCCCCCCTCTCTCTCTCTCTCTCTCTCTCTCTCTCTCTCTCTCTCTTTCTCTCTCTCTCTCTCTCTCTCACACCTCCCCCCCCCCCCCCCCCCCCCACATGCCTGAATGCAAGTACGCACTTGTATGTTCAGTTTTGTTAAATAGACATTTCTAGATCTAGAAGATAGTAAACCAGGATTTCAGAAATATCGTTGCTCATACTTTCAGGATTTTTAATGTGGTTTTTTTTTCTTCAGAATAGCAGACCTTACATTTTTTACTTTCACAATATAAAAACTACTCACATAAATTCTGCTTTTGCTCTTTTTCGAGTTATAGGTTGGCATTGTTTCCATGGCAACCAACAAACCTATATTCATTACATTTATTATCGAAGAGATATAAAGCTTAATTCTTTTCTGTATTTGCAGTCTCCAGCTCAATTTTCAATTTTGAAATAAGTGAAACACAAAAAAGTTGTTTGTCATCTGGAAGCCACATATATAATGGTCATGGTACTAGGTCAAACAAAGTTAAAAAATACCAATTTTTATTGAAAAGATTTGTTTAAAAGCACGTTTAGATTATGTATTTGTGTGCATGCTTTTGTGTGTTTTACACCACCTGTTCTTTGTCTATTTTTTGTGTGTGTGTGTGTGTGTGTGTCTGCCTGTGTGTTTGTGTGTGTCTGTTTATCTGTGTCTGTGTGTGTATGTGTGTGTGTGTGTGTGTGTTGGTGTGTGTCTGTTTGTCTGTGTATCTGTATATTTTACATCTACTGTATCTTGTCTATTTGTTGTGTGTGTGTCTGTATATGACTATGTATTTATGTGTCTGTGTATATATATGGCTTCACACCTGCTGTGTGAAACCATACTCACAGACTCATAGATACATAGCCACATATATGAGTGGGTGGTTGGCGGGTGCTCTTCTGGTGTGGTTTGCTTTTTCTTTCCTATCAAACTTCTATCGTCCTTATCTTTCCTCCCTCTTTTTTGTGTTTGTTACTCTCTTATAATAACACCTCTAATCTTCGGCACTTATATGACCTTATTGTGTTGCAAGTGCTGTAAAACACTTACAGGGGCAGTGCCACTGACTGTAGTGTCTTAAGGCCATTCCCAATGGGGGGACATTTCTCGTTCAAGCACAGGACAGGACAGTACAATTGTAAATGGGCTGATTCATCATGTCACGCTCATAACTGTGCCTGACTGCAACTGGGAACTGCTGCTTTTTCTTTCCTAATCCTTACTATTGTCATTATCCTCTACTTTTTTTGTATGTTTGTCACTCTCTTGTGACCTGCTATTTCTGGGGTGCCTTGATAGTCGAAGCAGACTTTGTGCTGTTGAAGCTAAAGAAGTGAGCAGAGTAAGTCTGATTCCTTGTAAGGACTTTCTGTTGACACCCTCCCCATTGCGCTCATATGACCTTATGCAGTTGCGAGCGCCGTAAAACCCTGTACTAAAAAAAAAATACTTACTAAAAAAACCAACAACCCCTGCTTTACTTTTTCTTTTCTCTCCTCAGTGCCTCAACTCGGATGGCGTGAGAATTGAGCTGGACGTGACTTATCAGTACCGTGTTCAGATGCAGCACTTGAAGGAAGTCGTATTAACCTTTAAAGACTTTGATGACTACGAAACTGTTCTGAGATCTGTAGGTAAGGACATAAGTATGGTCTTTTAACTCTTTTTCTCTGGCAAGCCGCTCCCAGTGGCTCGCGGTCGGAACCACTGTGCCGGTGAGCCGGTGACAGCGACTCGCGACATCGAATTACTTTTCGGCATTTTAGGTTTCATATACCGGAAGCTCATTCATTAGATGAAGAACTATCAAAATAGGTTTGCTAGTTTCGATTTACCGACCCGTTTAATGACGTTTTTCTCATTTTTAGATTTAGCACCAAAAAAAGGGCCTCAACGTAGTGGGTTTACCCCCCTCGGAGATAAAGAGTTCATACTGGGAAAAAGAAAAACAGAAATGAAAGAAGAAAAAAAGGGAAGCCCAGTTGAAATTATCCTAGATGGCCGTCCATTGTGAAGGAGAAAGCACAGATAGTCAAGAACCTCATCAAATGCAACACCAGGGAACAGTGGCGGAATGGATGGGCAATGGGCACAACTGGAAGGACTGTATCTGCACACATGACTGCTCCCAACTCTAAAGATGCATTAAATTCCCTGAGAAGAAGAGGACAAGTCACTATCTTTCGCCTGCGAACACAACACATCCATCTGAATTCCTACCCAAATAGGATCCGCAAAGATACCCCACCCGACTGCCCGTTGTGTGACTGCCAGGATGAAACAGTATCACACCGCCTCTTAACCTGCCCTGCACCTAGCAACCTGCGTAGTACCTACCTATCTGCCTCCCCAGACACAGGAAATACTCTATACAGCAACAAAGCACAGCTGATAAAAACCTGTAACTTCTTTGCCAATTCGACAGACCGAAGGGCTAGAACTCAAATGGCCACTGGATCGGAAAATTAAAAGTGAAAGTAAAGAAGGAGAAAGCATTGTCTTAGAGGAATGGATGTCTTGAACAGATTCATTATGATGTGTGAGGCAGCGTGGTAAAATCAGGGGCTTGTTAAAATAATGAAATCAAAGAGAACCGTCTTTTTTCGGGGTGTTGGGTAATTTTTTCGAATTTTAAGTTTTGTAGCTCAGCACCTTTTATGTGCACATAAAACACATTTCCATACGTTGATTTTTCTGAAAAACGTTGATTAAAGGCGCACAAACTTTCATTTTGAAGTTTTTAAGGACACTAAAGCTTTGGATGTCACCAAACTTTGGCAGCCATTTTCTCGCTAATTAAACCTCTGATATCAGGATACCCCCACCTCCTTTAATCGATTCTGAGCAATGATAGGTCTATTCTTGACTCTACTTTTGTTATATGCAATCTTCTTCCAACTAAAAGATTAAAAGATAAGTGAACAATTGCTCTATTATTGATTTTTTATTATCATTTTATATTATCCCTGTGTTACTTGCGTCACTTTTCCTGGAATGGCCCTAAAGTTGCTTCAATTGTGAAGTACAACAGTGCCCCACCCCCCACCACCCAAACCATCTGCTTTCTCATGTATGTGCTCAGGTCCATCAAGGTTTAAGGAGATTCTATTTCTGTCCTTGTCTCCTTCCACAGGGACTGCTTCCCTGCATGAATCCTGTAGCTACTTCAACACAACGCAGTTCCAGGCGAATCGTGGCGAATTTCAGGACAAGTTGGCGGAGATTTTGACTGAACGCTACAGCGTCTTGAAAAGTGATGTGGAAGACTTACAGGTAGCTGCTAGTTTTAGATACTCGGTGATCAGAGAAATGGTGGGCACAAATGTGTCCAAAACTGTGGCGTCTGTGGCCTAGGGGTTAGGCTACCGGACTCGTAATCGTGAAGTTGCGGGTTCGGGGGTTTGAGCCCTGGGTCCGACGTTATGTCCTTGCGAAAGGCACTTTACATGAATTTTCCTCTTTTCACCCAGGTGGGAATGGGTACCCGGCTAAGCTGGCCTAGATACCCGGCCATAGACAGCGAAAGATCTTGTCAGTATGTTCGTGTTTTTGCGCCTATAAATGGCTGCTTGCACTGTACGCTTCCCAGGAAGTTGAATTTGTTTCAGAATGCTTTCAGGTCTGCTTGGGTAATTGTATAGATTGTGAAGCTCATAGAACAGCGGAAATACAGAGCTTTGATCTACGTCACTGACATGCAAGCACTGCGACAGAATCTGCACTTCGAACATAGGAAGAATTAACCATGAAAGAAGCTGCATGAAGACAACCTTGAGACCATCTTAAGCTAAATTGACCATCTTCAAAGACGAAAAGAGCCATATATATAGAAGCGCTCAGAGCTTGCTGTTGATTATGCTATCTATTATTATTATTATTATTAAATGATGTTATGCGTCAGGTCCAACACCAAAGAATCAAATGGTTCGGACATCTCATGCGATTACCAACACGCCGTCCAGCACAATGTGCCTACTTATTAAAAAATTCAATGGCAACAAGGCTAGAGGGCGACCGAGAAAGACCTGGATAGATGGACTCAGGGAAACACTAACAACTCATGGCATCCCCCTGACCCAAGCTCTCCGGCTGGCGACAGAGAGACGTCTCTTTCTACCCACGACACCCAAAAGGGTATAAGCGGCAGATAAAAGTTTAAAAAAGTAAAGTAACGCTAGTTTTAGGAATTGAGTTTAACTATTTGATTCTGGATTGCCGCCTAAGTGGCTTTTTTGCTTCTGCTTTTTTGGAAATTGTCACTTTTGTGTGTATTTGGGATACCGATTTCAAGCGCCCAAAGCAATTTAAAAAAAAAAACCCAACATTTTCCTATTCAAGTTAGAGAGATTCTGAATGGTGGTAGAAATAGCATTTTTTCGCCTGACCGGTTATTTTGTACGGCTATGAGAATGAAGTTTGAATTTCGTTGTGCGCAGAGGCTATTTCGACAGCTGGTTGGTGGCTTACATGTATGTGCCTAATCAGCTGGATTCTACCCTCTCTCCATAATATATAGACCAAGACTTTGATCTAAGGAACTTTCTGCTGAACAAGCGAGTCAGTTCTTTCAAACTCTGCTGGAGGAAAAAAAATGACTGAAGTGAAGCATAAAAATAAACCTACCTTGGTGACCCAATTTTATGCCCTTGGAACAGTTTTGATTCTCAGTTGGCATTGTTATATTATCATTTTTATTTTTGTAATTGTTGTCATTCTCATTATTATTATTATTATTTTATTCATAGTGATATTTTTATTTTTTTATTTTCTTCTTCTCATTGTCATCTTCTCTGTTTTCTAGGTCAACAATATCAAGCGTCCCAGTGAGTACGAGTCTGCCATCAGGAGCAAGGAGAGGGCGAAGGAGAACATTGCTGTATGTATGCTCACTCCTTTTACTCCTCTAATGAACGCCATATATGATCTCTTTTAAGCTCAAGGGGGCTATCCCGAAAAATGCTGTTTTGAGAAAATCGAAGGTAAAGTATTTGGACCCTTGTTCAGTTTCTTTAAAAGACAAGGAGAGTTTTCTCCATAACCAAACAAATACACACCAATGAAACTTAACTTCTCCTATAGGTAGGGCAATGACCACTTTTGGTGTAGGTCAAGATTTCTGGAAACCCCCAAAATCTGGGATAGCTCGCTTGTCCTTAAAAGCGACCATATGTTCAGCAGAGTCAGGAAGGGTGGGATGATAATAGCATAATGTCAGAAAAAGATAGCAGATGATAGAGGTTGCCACTAGTCACTTGTGGCTCCAACTTCTTTTTTTTCCCCTTCACTTGTTTCTGTCTGTCTGTCTTGCTTTTTCCCTGCTCGAAATGAGCTTTTTTGTGTATTGAGGGCTTCTTTTTACTCAAACTGAAACACTCTTTGTTAAAATTGTTGCCTGAGCCACCTTCTTTAACCCTCTTAGTGTGGGTGGTTTGCGGGTGCTCTGGTGTGGTTTGCTTCTTCTTTCCTATCGAACATCTATCGTTTCTACCTCCCCTCCTTCTTTTTTATGTTTGTTACTCTCCTGTAACACCTCTAATCTTCTGGCGCTCATATGATCTTATGCAGTTGCGAGCGCCGTAAAACCTCTACTAAAAAGTAACCGTCTTAGCAGCACCACATAATTTAATAGATCAGCAGTTCAGCACTGCAGAACCAAAATGGCAGCCAACTGATGGCTTCCCACAACCGAAGTATTTCAGTGTTTTTCAGAGGATCAGGAGTTGTAGCAAAGAAATTGTTTTTGCTTTTTGATCTAAGCAACGCATTTCAATAAAATTTCTCTTTCAAAAACCAAGGACGTCGGCGTCTAAATTTAAAATGGAATGTTTTTATTTCTAAGCCCACACTAAAGGCGGGTGTGTCAGGCCAGTAAAAGCCTGGTATGGCTCTACAGTGGGAAAGCTGGTAAAAGCCGGTGTGGCAACATGACAAGCAGATCTGCTTAAGCTGGTATGGCTCGAAAAGGGTTAATGAATGAATGGAAAGAGGGAACATGAAACTTCAATTAATTTTGCAAAATTAGAGCTCTCTCCTTGTGGAGCTGCTTTGTTGCTTGCAAGTGAAACAACACCAACTGTTCTCAAGGCCTCAGCTGAGTTGACGCACGTTCTCATGTTTTTGAGTGGTTGGCGGGTGCTGTGGTGTGGTTTGCTTCTTCTTTCCTATCAAACATCTATGGTACTTATCTCCTCTTCTTCTTTTTTATGTTTGTTACTCTCTTGTAACACCTCTAATCTTCTGGTGCTCATATGACCTTATGCAGTTACGAGCGCTGTAAAACCTCTACTGAAAAAAAATGTTTTTGGCCACAGGTTGCCAAGGAAGAGCGGCCGCGCCTGGTGACCGAGGCCAACACCACGCTGCGTGAGGCCGTCTCTGAAGCTGTCATCATCACGGACAAGGCCGAGTCGGATGCTCGTATCCGGAAAAACTTGTGAGCTTCTAACTCTTAAATCAAAGATTATCTATATTATATTTGTGAAAGTTCGTTACTTTGGCCGCCTTATCTTCCCAACCGCTTAACTTTTGAATTTGACAAAATTAATGGTGGTTCAGAATCATTTATAGGGTGCACATTTCATTAATTTTGTTTAGATCTAATTTTGGGAAAGTCCGTCTTCTAAGACGCCATTGTAAACAAGTGAGGTTTCTGTTCACTTGCCATGTGTACTGATTCCTCACCTTTGAAAAATCAATCTATACATCTCTATAATTATCTAGACCTTCTAAATTTTTTTTTATTGCTCCATTCCAGTAGAATGTAAATATAGCAGGCCAATGACTTTCAGTTGATGTTAAAGCACCGATTATTCCTTTTATCGAAAGGAGGTCCAGCTGGTAAACTATAAGACCATAAGTGTCTGGATAATGTGAAAGAGGGTGCTTAGCAATTTTGGGGGCTTGTGGAGTTATTGGTATCATTTTAACACTTTTGGGTCACTTGGCTCAATAATGTGCTGGTGAAAATTATCCATTCTGGTCTGTGCCAGGCCCAAGAAGTCTGTTGCAGTCGCTCTCCCGGCTGGGTGACCAGATGGGCTATTTTGTACTGCTGGCTGTGTGACCTCAAAATGTTGAAGCTGCTTCATTTTTCTGTCCTTTGATAAAAAAAATACTCAGCTATTTTATCCAGAAGTTGAGGTATTATTTGCCGTTGAAGAAGGTGAAGGTCGCCTTGTATCAGAGAAAATGTTCGTGAGAAAATGGTGCCAGAGTTTGGTGACTTAAAAACTACAAAGTTACACATTTTTTGCCCTTCATAAATGTTCTACAGTAAAACCCACACAGAAATATGTTTTTAAATGGACATACAAGACGCTGGGTCAAATTTTTAAAAATCCATAAAAATTGCCGAACAGGTGGAAAAATATGTGAGGCAGTGTGGTGGAATCAGGCTCTCGTCAATTTTGGGGCATTTAGAGTTATTGGTATCATCTTAAAGCGTGTTCACTTGTCTTTATGCAGATGAACAAAACATCCATTTATCTTGAATACAATTCGAGATATTTGCAAATGAAGGAGGTGGGGGTCACCTGTTTTCAGAGGTAAAATTACTGAGAAAATGGCGGCCAAAGATTAGTTATTCCCTAATTTGAAGAGTCCATGGTAACTGAAAAACTTACATTTTTTGTGCCTTTAATCAACCTTTTTCAGAAAAATCCACACAGAAATGAGTTTTTTAATGGGCATGAAAGATGTTGAGCCAAAAAAAAATAATTTGATAAAAATTCACAAACCTGCGGAAAAATGCAAGTTTCTTCAATTTGATTATTTTGACGAGAGCCTGATTCCACCACGCTGCCTTACATATCCGTTTTTATTGGATTTCATTGTTTTGGCTTGCACCTTGTTACACTCCATGATGCCTCACATATACAGATGTATCGATATAATATAGATATGTACATCCTGAATCATAGAGATATACTACAAATATACTGTACCTGGTTGCCACTGTGCAGCGCCCTGTTTTGTTTGGGTTATTTTTTTTTTTTTAAACTAGGATTATCATGCCTCTCTCAAGTGCACACCCCAGTGACCACCCACCTAAACGCCATGTCATTAATGTATACTGTACATTTCTTGTGGTAAAACTCACTAACCACCGGCACACCAGGACCAAACCCCCTGGGACAGTGCTGCTGACTGAAGTGTCTTTAGGCCATTCCCAAGGGGGGGGGGAGGGGGGAACTTTAACATCTCAAGTTCTTATGCACAGTAGAATTGTAATTTTGTACATTGGCTGATTCATCATGTCATGCTCATAACTGTGCCTGAACTGAAAGTGTTGATTCCCTCTAAGGACTTCTTTGTTGACATCCGCCCCTTGGCGCTCATATGGCCTTATGCAGTTGCGAGCGCCGTAAAACCTCTACTACAACAAACAACACTGGGACCGTAACTCTTTAATCAAAGATTATTCAAATTATTCATCCTAGTATTATGTTTTGCTTTTTTACATTTGAATCTGGAACTTTCCACGTAAATTGACATGAAGGCCTCACAGGCATCTGGCTCCCACATGGAAAACAAATTTAATAAACTTGGCCCAACAGACGGAGAAATGACGGTGTCTTCGATTTTGTTAATTTGACGAGCACCTGATTTCACCATGATGCCTCGCAAATATTTATATAATGTTTCTGTCATGCTCATACCGTCAGAGCTGACACTAAAATGTGGGGGGTTTTATTATATGTGTCACGACGTGGTGGAATCAGGGGCTCGTCAATTTCTGGGCATGTGGAGTTATTGGTATCATCTGAAAGCTTATTCATTTGCCTTGCTTTCAGTGAAAAAAATATCCATATAGCTGGAATAGAAGTCGAGATATGTGCGATTGAAGAAGGTGAGGTAGCCTGGTTTCAATGGTTAAATTAATGAGAAAATGACTGCCAAAGTTTGGTAACTTCAATAGCTTAAGGATCCTTGAAAATGGAAAATTACATACTTTGTACGTGTAAACGGCTTTTCAGCAAAATTCACTTGGAAAAGTGTTTTCATATGAACATAAAAGGTGTTTAGTCAAAAAACAAAATTTTGATAAAAATTACCAAACTGATGGAAAAATGCCTTTTTCTTCGATTTCATTATTTTGATGAGCGCTTGATTTCACCTCAATGCCTCACATATTTGAATTAATTTTTACCTCATATATTTTTCTATGTGGGTGGTTGGTGGGTGCTCTGGCGTGGTTTGCTCCTTCTTTCCTATCAAACAACGTCTATCGTCCTTATCTCCCCATCTTTTTTATGTTTTTTACTCTCTTGTGACACCTCTAATCGTATGGCCTTATGCAGTTGCGAGCGCCGTAAAACCTGTACTAATACTAAACTTTTCTGCGATGTTGTCTTTGACTCACAGGGCGAGAGCGGAGGCTGAGGCTATCATCGAGCTTTACAACAAAGAGGCCGAGGCGTACGAAGCCATCATGGGCAGCGGGGGCCTCCAGTTCTCCCCCGAGGGATTCATCTCCTACATGGGGGTCAGGGTCATCGCCGACGCCAAGAACCCCGTCTACATCGGTATGAAGAGCCCGGCCAAGGCTTCTTACATCAAAGATTAGGAATCGTTGTAATCAGATGTATGTATTTCTTTACTGTGGTTGGGACTTGCCATGGCTTAAACTGCCCCTGGACATGGATTACTGATGCCTCTATAAATGAATTATTGTGGATGGGACAAGTCATAATATGCGTGTTGCGTCCATAGATTTGAATTAGAATATGTATCACGGCTCAGTGGAATCAGGCGCTCGTCAATTTTTGGGCATGTGGAGTTATTGGTAACATCTGAAAGCTGATTTATTTGCCTTGCTTGCTATGAAATACATATCCTTTTATCTTGAATAGAACTCAAGATATCTGCTATTGAAGGAAGTGAGGTCGCCTGGTTTCAGCGTTGAAATAAGCAAGAAATTGGCCACCAAAGTTTGGTGAACTCCAATAGCTAAAGAGTCTTAGTATACTGAAAAATGACATATTTTGAGCCTTTAACCAACGTTTTTCAGTAAAAAAAATATGGACATAGAAGGGGTTGAGCGAAAAAACAAAAATTAGAATAAAAATTGTCAAACTGGAGGAAAAATATTGATATCTTCTGTTTCATTATTTTGAGGAGCGCCTGATTTCACCACGATGCCTCACATATGAGGCGTGCTGACAGAGACAGAAATTTCTCCACGGATGGAGGTGTGGGCTGAAAATAGACATAAAATTAATAGATTTTGAATTGATGCGATGTTTTTCATTTCAACACTTTACCGCCTCATCTGGCCGATTGGTGATGTTTACCACCCAGTTTCTTTGGATTTTCCCCAAAATATAATGGCAAAGTGTTCAACATGTCTTTTTTTTATTTCATATAATAAATTGTAATACAAACAAAACCATGCTGTTGCGAGCGCCGTAAAACCCTCTACAATAATAGAAAATAAAATTAACAAAACCTATAAATTTGACGTATATATCTGTGTCCATAGGGCTAATATCAGAGAATAACTCATTTTGTCAGCACGCCTCACATATGCTACTTAGACTGGGCACTATTATTTACTACCACTCTTTGCTCTCTGTCTATAACTTGGCTGTGCTGGTGCACATTACAGATGCACAAATGAAGGGCAAAACACAAGTCTGGCTATAGTTGAGTATGGATTCAACTTTTCCTTGCTTTCCATTCATCTGGTTCTAAATCGAGTCAAATGGTTCTCTCCATGGATGTTGTTCATTACTTTCCTTTCATCTGGTTCCAAATCGAGTCAAATGTTGGGCACCTTGGATGTTTTTCCTTACTTTCCATTCATCTGGTTCCAAATCGAGTCAAATGGTGTGCTCCGCGGTGAACTGGAGTTAGATGAGGCTGCCCCATCTCGGTTGTTCCACGTAGTCAATGATTGTATCATATTGTTGTGAGATGAGACCTGAACATAATGAATATTGCTGACTAGTAAAGTAAGTGTAGTGACTGTGAAATGTTGTCTTACATATATATATATATATATCTCTTTTGTGTATACACTGTTCCCTCTAATATTTGGGAGTGGAGGGGGGTTGGTTATGTTCTAGAACCTCCCGCAAAAGGGAAAAATTCTCGTAGTAGAAAATATAAACCCCTCCCCTCCCCACATTCTAATCTGCCTAGTGAACACTTTTTCGTATCTTTGCTCGGATGCTCTCAACAAACCTGTATTATCCTGGTCTTTTCCCATCGCCCATCTGTTCAGGATTTCCAAGTTCAGATATAATTTGTGCGCAGTCATCGTACAGTCCACCCTGCTCAAACGGCCGTGTGTAATTAATAAGACAATCACTTCCCATTTCCTCCCTTGCGTATTTTTCATCTTATAAGGGCACTACGTAATACGGCCACCTGTCTAATAAGGCCACTTTCCTCCCTTGCGTATTTTTCATCTTATAAGGGCACTACGTAATACGGCCACCTGTCTAATAAGGCCACTTTCCTCCCTTGCGTATTTTTCATCTTATAAGGGCACTACGTAATACGGCCACCTGTCTAATAAGGCCACTTTCCTCCCTTGCGTATTTTTCATCTTATAAGGGCACTACGTAATACGGCCACCTGTCTAATAAGGCCACTTTCCTCCCTTGCGTATTTTTCATCTTATAAGGGCACTACGTAATACGGCCACCTGTCTAATAAGGCCACTTTCCTCCCTTGCGTATTTTTCATCTTATAAGGGCACTACGTAATACGGCCACCTGTCTAATAGGGCCACTTTCCTCCCTTGCGTATTTTTCATCTTATAAGGGCACTACGTAATACGGCCACCTGTCTAATAAGGCCGCTTTCCTCCCTTGCGTATTTTTCATCTTATAAGGGCACTACGTAATACGGCCACCTGTCTAATAAGGCCACTTTCCTCCCTTGCGTATTTTTAATCTTATAAGGGCACTACGTAATACGGCCACCTGTCTAATAAGGCCACTTTCCTCCCCAACATTGTGTGGCCGTCTAGTACAGTTTTGACTGTATTTTTTTCTTAAATCTTCTATTTAATTTGAAATTACTCAAGAAGCGAGCAAAAGCAAAAAAGCAACAGTTAATTCATGTGAGCAGTAAAAACTTTTATTCATGTGTTTGTAATATTGTTTTTGAGAATGTTATTTATTCTAATTTGATATGCGGTTACGTTTTTTGGCAGCCATAGGAAATAATTGTTCAAAGACGTTGATGTTTCTTTTCTCACTGTTTATTGCGTGAACATCTGAAGTGAGATTTGGTTAACGAACGTCCTCAGTCCTTGTCTCACAGCTAGGAGCTCATTCTATTATTAGTGACTGTTTTGTGAAATGAAATGTGCAATATTTTCTTGGGTTTTTTTCTCTGGTGTGGGATTTCTTTTCTCATAGATGTTACATTTTTTCTCTATTCCCATCAAGGGTCTTGTAAATTTTATTTGACATGATGAACTGAAAGACAGGTCAACCCTTTCGGCTGCATTGCTTTTAGAATTCATAACCTTCCTTTTGAGTGGATAGTTTCAAAATTGACGCTCATATGACCTTATGCAGTTGCGAGCGCAGTAAAACCTTACTTAAACAATAGTTTCAAACAAAGTTTTGCAAAAGTATTGCATGCACATCTGAAGTACCGGTACCCTACATGCTTGGATTGCACTGTTGAATAGAAATTGTTTTATGAAACCTTAAGGCAACCACTACTGAAAAGAAATTGTTTTTGTTATGGTTATTTTATTACACTTTCTCTTTGTGTGTGATTACTCTGTTGACATGTGAAAAATATTTACTACTTATAATTATATTCTTTGACATAAATTTCATATTTTTTATTTGTACATTCAGTTTCTATTCTCATGCATGTTTTATCTTACTTTGTTACATTGAAGTTTGAATGATACAAACGCGGGGGAATCAGGCGCTCGTCACTTTTGGGACGTATAGTGTCATTGGTATTGTCGTAAAGCCTGCCCATTTGCCTTGCTTGTGATGAAAAAGATATCAATTTATCTCAGATACAAGTGAAGATATTGGCCATTGAAGGAGGTGGGGTCGCCTGGTTTCAGATGTAAAATAAATGAGAATATGGCCGCTAAAGGTGAGTTTTTTCCTTAGTTTGAGAGTCCATGGGAAAAAAATTTACATCTTTTATGACTTTAATCGATGTTGTTCAGTATAATCCGCACCGAAATGCGTTCTTTAATGGGCAGGAAAGGTGTTGAGCCAAAAAACCCACATTCGATAAAAATTCCCAGACCTGCGGAAAATGCCAGTTTCTTGACTTTCATTCTTCTGACGAGCGCCTGATTTCACCTCCCTGCCTCACATATTACAAATATTACAAATATTACAAATATTACAAATATTACAAATGCAGTCAAGCCTGCTCTAACAGTCTCCTGCTCAAATATCCACTGCCCACTTACCCCTTAGCGATTTTACTTCCTAATATTGTAATGACACTGTTCAAGATTGTCTTAGACAACCATTTTTCTCCTAGACAATTTCAACTGTAGGGGTAGCTGTTCGAAACCAAACCTGGGTATGTTTTCTCTCTAAATGTTCCTGATCCCTTTTTGTGATGTTTGAGAGGGGTTTTTTTCCCCTTTCACTGCGCCCATCTTTTGTTAGCCAGGATAGACTGGGTCCACTTTTTTTGTGGTCACCTTCAAAATCTTAGAATTACATGTCACTTACCTTTTCATTATTTCAGATTTTGAATCTTTCATTGGCTTTCCACTACCGTACAATTTATCTGAAAAGATACTGTGTACAGGCAGAAATGACAGTGCAGTTATACAATTTTGTTTGATGCGTGCTTTCTGGTTGACCTGATATTTCCAAAATCAGCTGATTTTGGGATGTACATTGCACATTGTACAAGAGAATGGTGTCTTGGCACATGGCACACGATGTTGAGTGGACAGTCGTGCTGGGCGGCTAGGTTCCCGATTGTTGAAAGCTTGGAATAGTAAGAATCAACTCCGATCCCAATTACTCACTTTCTAATAAAGTGATTTATTCCGGTGGTTACCTGGTTGGCTCCGAACATCTTCAGGATTTAGGATAACCTTGATTTCGGAACACTACGAAGCATCAGCTTTTGATTTTCAAAAATAAATTCTAAAGAAAAAGATTTGAATTATGTAAAGTAACTGGTAACCGTCGGTTTACGTAAAAAGGAGTCAGAACTTTTCTTCCTGTTGCATCAATCGTGGGAATCGGTTCCGGAATCAATTCTTTGATCAGCTGAGCTGTAGTGTACAGTGTACCTGAGCTGTCACAAATAAGTTAAAAATCTAGACCTAGACTAAACAACGAACAAGCAGGAATCTTATGACTCGTTCATTTATTTTATTTTAAGATAATATTTTAATTCCTTAAAATTTTTAAACTATTTTTTACTATTACTAAAATATATTTTTAATTACTGTTTGGTTTTTTAAATTCATTTTTAGCATGAGATGGTTGTGAATTACAGAGCTGTTATTGCTGACGAGCATTGTAGAAAAGTTTTGTTTTTTTTTAAGAATAGGAGGCAATCTCAAGTTAGTAGCTTTTCCGGGGGACACGTGTTGTGCCATTGTTTAAGAATCTTGATCTTCAAAGATATCTTTGTAAAGGCTTGGAGGCTGAAGTCTTGCAGTACTTGAATGGGAAGCTTTGTGTTATATTGGGCAAGGAAAA